CAATGTAAATGAGGCAAGGAGATCTGACATATCTGTGAATAAGGGTGAAGGAAAAGGCATCGTCGTTGATATTCCTGTACTAGGTGATAGTAGAACTAGTGACAAGGAAAAGGAGAAAGTAGAGAAATGCCAAGATTTGAAAAGGCAAATGAAGAGGATTTGGAACAAGAGAAGTGTAATAGTTGTACCTGTGATTGTCGGAGCAAGAAGAAAGTGGATGAACGGTTCGGAAAGTTAGATATCACATTGATTACAGCACTTTTACAGAAAAAAAAACAGGATATTGAGAATAATACTCGAGTACTGAAAGGGAGCGACCCCATGCGACTCCATTGGGATGTAATTCGGTTATGAGAACTGCCAGGACTTAAAGCAGACGGAATGATAAAGAAATAATGATAATAATAACAATGATAATGATAATAATAAAATGATGATGAAAAAGATATTTTTCATAAAAATAGTGATGATAATAATAATAATAATTAATATTATTATTAGTAGTAGTAGTAGTATTATAGTAATACTAGTGATAATGAGGATAATAATATCAATCATCATCATAATAATAATGATAATAATATAATGATAGTGATAATAATGATGATGATGATAATGACAATAATAATAATTATAATAATAATAATAATAAAGATAACACTGAACAATAATGATAAAAATAAAAATGGTAGCATGGTACTAGCAAAGGTAATGAAAACAATAATAATAATTAGTTTATGAATAGTAATAATGATAATAACGACAGAAGAATAATCACATATACCAACATGGAATACAAAAAACAAAAACAATCTATTAAAACCAAGAAAGAAAAAAAGAAAAAAAGAAAACACGAAAACGGGAAGAGGGGAGTCAGTGGCGCAGCGGCGTTGTCTTTGAACCGGTTGACTCCAAGGGAATAACATCGAGGCGGGCGACATTCTTCTCGTTCGCGGGCTGACGAATGTTTGGGCGACTGTGGCTTGGTTTTGGACTGTTTGATTTTGAGAATGTGTGTGGGAGGAGGAGAGTATGTATATAGAGTCGTACGTAGGCACGCACGCACACAAACACACACATACACACACAAACACACATACAAACAAAGAACACGCACACACACACAACACACACACACACACACACACACACACACACACACACACACACACACACACACACACACGCAAACATATACACACACGCACATATACTCACTTTTTTTTGTTTCCCTCCTCTCTCTTTCTTATTCTTTCTTTCGGTCTCCTTCCTTTCCTATCCATTTCCCTCTTTATTTCCCCCTTCCCCGTGTCTATTTTCTTCCTATTTCTCTCTTTCCCTTGTCTTTTCTCTCTCTCACCTTCTTCTTCTTTTCTCTCTCTCTTTCCCTATCCTCATTTTACCTTCCTCCTCGCTCCCATATTCTTCACCTATCTGTCTGTTTCTCTTTCCCTTCCACTCTCTCTCTCATCTTCCTTGTCCTGCCCTTCACTCCGTCTCCCCCTCTCCCTTCCTTTCTTCTTCCTCCTCCTCCTCTTCCGTTTCCAATCCCTCTTCCCACTCCTATTCTTGTCGTCGATTCAACGAAAAAACTCTCCCGGACGCAAGATGGCTGCCGACCCACGCAGATACCTTATAATTCAGTCCCTAGAAGTCCTTATAATTCCCTAGTCAGTCCTAGAAGTGTGCAGTCTGGGTCATCGGGGGTCATGGGGAACTCTCCATCATCTTTATTATTTAGATAGTTTTCTGTAACTTTCTTTCAGAAATAGATTTTCTCTCCAGTTCGAGTTCAAGAAAGCTATGCATATATTTAGTCTTCAAATATTATTTCCTTTCTTCTTCTCTTCTTCTTCTTCTTCTTCTTCTTATTATTATTATTATTATTATTATTATTATTATTATTATTATTATTATTATTATTATTATCATTATTATCATCATTACTATTATTATCATTATCATTATTGTTAATATTATTATTATCATTATTGTTAATATTATTATTATCACCATTATTATTGTTATCATCATGTTACCATTATTACTTTTTTATTATTGTTATTAATTTTATTATCATTATCAACATCTATATTGGTATCTTATTATTATCATCACCATTATTATCATCACTATTATCATCATTGTCGTAGGATTAGAACATTTTTTATCTGTCTCTCCGCTGAATAAGAACATGTATATACTGAGAAGTCGAAGGTCACTTAGATAATTTCATTGAATAATCTGTATAAATTTCCCGCTTTACAAATCAAGGCAAGCGAAGAAGAAACGAAAGAAAATACAAGAAAGAGGCATCAGCTCAACAATAATGATAACAGTGAGGGACTCTATAATATCTAATAAAAACAATAAAGAAAGCAATACGTGCGATTAAAGAGGAAAACTTGTCCTGCTGCAGGACATAAGAAGTAAGGTCGGATAATCCCTGTTTGTCTTTCCTTATTTTCTCCTTGTATTTAAGATTCCTTGGCTCGCTTTTTAGGGAATTTATATCGCAATAGCGCTTACGATTTAGATAAGAAAATACTGTAACGCTTCAGCAGTGTGGTGTCACTATTGTTACTGAATAAGAATTGCTCTTTCTTTCGAATGTTGTTTGGCTGTCCATCTCCCTTTCGCTCTGTTCTTTCGTCCTATTTTCAAACCTTCGTGGACGCTAACATACACACAAGATCACCCACACACTCACTACTGTATGATCTATAAAGAGAGAAAAAAAAATAATTCCTAGTCAGTGATATTGTCCATGAATAACACAGACATAATTCTTCTTCTTGTCCTCCAAGCTTGTCCTGTTTACGTTACAGGGCCGCTGCAGCTATCCTCTTCCTCCAGGTTTCCCGGTCCAGTGCGTCTTCCTCCTTTGGTTTTATCTCTTCCTGGTCTTTTTTCAGGCAGTCAATCCATCTCATTTTCGCCCTTCCTCTTCGTCTTCTTCCTGGTGGTGCCCTCTCTAGCACACTACGCCCAGCATACTCCTCGGCTCTTCTTTTCACATGACCAAACCACCTTCGTCGGGCTTTCATGCACTGTGACGTGATGTTCATGATTCCCTAATTTTCTCGAATCACTTCGTTCCTCACGTGATCTTCCAATGTGTGGCCACGTGCCCATGTGCTTATTTTCATTTCTGCCACTTTTAGTCTCGGTGTCACGGGTAGTCAGGGGGCTCATTTCCATATCATATATCATCGCTGGTTGGATTACCATCCTGTGGATCCTGCCTTTCACCTTCAATGGTGTACTTTTGTCGCAGAGGATGCTAGACATCTTCCAGTTGTTCCATCCACATTGAATCCTTCGGTTTACTTCTGCCCCTTTTCCTCCATCTGTCTCAAGTGTACTTCCCAGGTACTTAAATGCCATTGCTTCTGGTAACTATCTCTGCAACATCACACTTCCAGTTGATGTCACATTCAGGCACATACTCAGTCTTTGATCTTGAGATCTTCATTCCTTTTTTCTCCACAGCTCCAGATCTTCCAGCTCTCGCTTCTCTCTCGCACATAATACCACATCATCGGCAAACATCACATGCCAGGGGGATTTCTTTCTGCAATCTTTTCTGAGCGAGTCTATAATGATGGCATATAGAAATGGACTCAACGCTGATCCGTGGTGTAATCCGACTTTTATTAGTAAAGTTTGTGTAGTTACCACTGCACAGTTCACTTTAGTCACGCAACGTTCGTACATGTCTTTAACCACTCTGATGTATTATACAGGTACCCTTTTATCTCCCATGCATCAATAGAGCTCCTCTCTTGGCGCCCTGTCATAGGCCTTCTCCAGGTCAATAAACACATTGTGTAAGTCATCCTGGCCCTCTTTTAATTTCTCTTGTAAGTGCCTCAACACAAAGATGGCATCTGTTGTTGCCTTTCATGAAGCCAAACTGTCCCTCCCTGATCTCCACGACGTTTCTTACTCGGCTTTCCTGCACTCTTTCATAGTTTCATGCTGCGGCTCATGAGCTTGATGCCTCGGTAGTTATCACATTCCATGATGTCTCCTTTATTCTTGAAAATTGGCATTAAAGTGCTTTTCCTCCATCCATCAGGGATTTTCTCCTCCATGTTTTTGTTGAGTTCTTGCTTCATATATTCATCTCAAGTAATTTCTAAGCTCTTCTACACCTCGACTGGTAGGTTATCCGGGCTCAGTGCTTTACCGTTCTTCATCTTCAGAGATTTCTCCACCTCCTCGGTTGTAATCTCGCTAGTCTCTTTCTCCACGACTCTCTGGGTCTCTTGCCTATTTTTTCTAGGGTTCTCCTCATTCATCAGTTTGTTGAATTATTCCAGTTATCTATTCAGTATCTCAGCATTTCCCACTAACACATTGCCCTTTTCATCCTTGATCAGCTTTGGCTGGTAGATGTCCTTTGAGTTCCTGTCTTGCTGCTTCACCATTCTCAATGCCCGCTTCTGTCTATCGATAGTTTCCATGTCCTCATACAGCACTTGATATGCTCTTGCCTTTGCCCGGTAACACTCTTCTTTGCTTCTTTCGTTGCCAACTTGTATACTTCTTTATTCTCATCAATATTCTCCATGTCTAAGATTTTCTTTGCTTCCTCCTTCCTCTTGAGGCTCTCCTGTACCTCATCATTCCACCACCATGTCTCTATTCCAGGTTTGCACTTTCCTGATGTTCTCCCTAACAGTCTCTCTCCCAGCTTTCTCAGGTCTTCTGTAACTTCCTCAAAGCTCCTATTTCCTTCCCTTTGACTCTGCTTTAACTTGTCTCTTGCTGCTGCCACAAACTGGCTCCGCGTGTCTTTGTCTGCCAGTTTCCACCATTTTGTTCTTGTACCCTATTGCTTTCCTCCTTGGTGTTATACTTCTGCCCAGTGTACATATAAGTGGTCTGTGCTCGCTGGTTACGCTCTCACCCAAGATGACCTTGCAGTCTTTTATGTTTCCTCTGTCACTCATTCTACACAAGATGTAATCAATCTGCATCTCCGCTCTTGCATGTTATCCTGTCCGCTCTGCTTTCTTGAAGAAAGTGTTAACTGTTCGAGGGCTGTAACTCATAGCAAAGTCAACCAACTGATCACCTGCCACGTTGCTAACTCCAACTCCATATATTCCGATGGTATCCTTTCCTCTGTTGTTGCTTCCGCAGTGGCCATTGAAGTCTCCAATCCATAGCCTTTCACTCTTTGGAATTTCCCTCAGATAATACTCTAGGTATTCATCATAGTCCATTTGGGGTGCATAAGCACTCATGATGTTTACAATTTCCCCTTCAAGATCCACTCTCATCCAGATAATCCTATCTGATTGCCTCTTCACACTCAAGACGCCTTTCTTGATGTCATCATTCAGAATAATACCAACTCCATTACATTTTCCATCTCTCCCATTGTAGAAGAATTTGAAACCATTTCCAATTTCCCTCGCCTTGCAGCCTTTCCATTTCGTCTCTTGAACACAATTGATGTTAATCCTGCGCCTGTTCATCAGGTCTACTATCTTCTGCCCTCTTCCTGTCATACTCCCTATATTCAAGGTGGCTATCTGAATTGTTCCCTTTACCTCCTCTACTCTCTTCCTCTTCCTCCTCTGAGCTATCTTCTTTAGCTGCTAACGTATCTGCTGTTGATACGGTAGCCGTCGTCCATTTCTCGCAAGTGTACGGTGATGTCCTTGCACATTGCTTGTGGGAAACGCCCTAGCCAGGTCTGGATTTTGATTTGCCATTCTCATTTGTTTGGAGTAATATTTTATGCCGGATGCCCTTCCTGACGCAACCCTCACCAGTTTATCCGGGATTGGGACCGGCACGTTTCCCAGACAGTTAAGGCTCTCCTAGGCTAATTCCTTGAAAAACACCAGCCCCACAGACCTAATATTTCCTCTTATTCTCTTCTTTGAAGACGCGAAGGAGTTCTCAGGCAGCGGCGTCGGAGAAAGGGCGTCTCCGAACTGAGACATTCTTCGTGGTTGCCCGGCGCCGTTCTTCGGAGAGGTTGCTAAGCGCGGGACTTTTAATTAACTTGGTGTCTTCATGTGAATTGTGATGGTTGTGTGTTAGTTGGGTGATGTTTAACCTGGTTGTTTAGGCAATAATAAAAGATATGTAAATTATAATTTTATATAATGCAGAAACCATTGATTAGATTCACAAAAAAAGAATGAAAGGATTCTAAAATGTAAAATCAAATGAATGCAAAACACAGAATCAATAACCTATAATCAAGTTTCATAAAAGAGGAATTGATTCTTGCTTATGTAAACATTATTATGGAGTGGGAGAAAATAAACAGTATTAAAAATCAATAAGATAATTATCAGAGCCGCCAAGGTGACAATCTGTAGATTTTCCCGGAATTATTTGGCTTTTTAGTCTTTTATTTAATGGAGAATCAGATCTACAGTACGGTCAGCAATAAAAATCAAAGAAAACTTTATGAAATGTTAGATTTTAAAGCATCTCGCATGCAGACACCGGACAGTCCTCATTTTATATACATACATACATACGTAATATATATATATTATTATATATAATATATATAATATATAATATATATAATATATATATATATAATATATATATATATATATATATATATATATATAATATATATGGATATATATTATATATATATATATATATATATATAATATATATATAATGGAATATATATATATATATATATATATATATATATATATATATAATTATATATATATATATAATATATATATATTATATAAGAGAGAGAGAGAGAGATCGTAAAGAAAAGAAAAGACAAGACAGAAGCACTGAAAGATTACACATGATTCGTAGAACCTTGTCGTAACTCATTCTCTTTCTCTGTGTCCATCTGTCTATCTGCTTTTTTCTCTCTCTCACACAACACACACAACACAACACACACACACACACACACACACACACACACACACACACACACACACATACATGAATAATCAATCAAAAAGAGAAGATAAATAAATAAATAAATCAACAGAGACCACGATCAACCACGGTCTTTTATTAACATAAAACACCGGCTAAATCACCCGACTTTATGCATACTGGACATTTAGTATGGCCGATTGCAGCCCCGTCTGACAGATAATATTCAATATTTAATCATCTAATTTCATACTGAATGTGAAAAAAGTGAAGGTAATATCCCACTTAAAAAGTGCCAGAATCGCTGGAATGGTCTTTATTCGATGTATACTGATATGTATATCTGATTTTTATTTAATGGATACTTCATGTTTCTAGTACCTTGAGATTTCAGAATTAACTGTGACTCAGGGAGATTTAGGTTTTCATAACTTAATTTTCTTTTATATGTAGCATTATCACTCCTTGTACGTTTCATCACTAAAGTTATATTAACTATTACATACACTATAAATTTATCAGTATGCCTTGTAAAAATAATAATTATGATATTCATAACAAAATAAATAAATGAATAAAAATAAAAAACATGTCCGTTTGTTAATG